CAAAAATCTTCTTTACATATATTGAGTATGTGCTATAGCACTAGTTCAGACTGGGGTATGTAAGAGGTAAATACTTCGTAAGCGTTAAAATTTCTTTCAAAATAAGCAATGCACACACTTTCACAGATATGAACTTGGATGAGAAATTGCATTAAGCAATGTACACACTTTCACAGATATGAACTTGATGAGGAATTGCACTGTAGCACTAATAGAGGAAAATACTGCTTGAGCTGAATGCAAACACGCACTTGGCAAGAATGATGTGTAGTACTAATAAAAAAAAATCAAATTTACACTGACAGTCGTAAGATGATTACTACTCTTATGTGGCCAAAGATGGCGGTTGACAATCTTTTCCTTCTTGTTTTGAAAAAAAAAAAAAAAAAGCGAATTTGGAAGGGGTGGATTTAGAGTAGTATTCGATTACAAGCGCACCACCCCTGCGCTGCCTGTGTCCGAGACTGAGAGGAGGGGAGAATGCTAAAGTTCCTTTTTCTTATCAGCAGAAGGAAGGAGGGTCGGGTAACCGCGTTACTGTGTTAAAGTAACAACGGTCAGGAACACAAGCCGGAACAGTAATACTTAGAAAATTAATTAAATAATCACTGAATAATGATGAAACTTACACTACTGAAGTCCTAGTGCTTTGCTGTAACTGCAGATACAAAAAAATCTCTTGTAAGGCTGAATATTCCGTTCACCGTGAAGCAAAATGTGGGAGCAAAATTCATACGACCTCTTATCTCTGCGTATAGACGCGCTCTCTTTATGTGGTAGAGTTATCGGTCGTCTGGAATGTGGGCGTACCCAACTGGTAGTATCAGACGAACTTGGAATTGCCCCGAGTGTCATCTCCAGGCTTTGGCAACGATTCCAAGATGATGGTAATATGAGTAGACGTTACAGCACAGGTCGCCCCAGAGTTACAACGCCGAATGAGGACCGGTATTTGGCAGTTACTGCCAAAAGAAGCAGGTGGAGCACAGCTTCAGACCTGTCTCGTCAGCTCTTTTCAGCCACTGGTACGACAATTTCAAGGCAGACCTTGTACAGACACTTAGGGCAGATTGGTCTATATGCTCGTAGACCTGTCAGATGCGTTCCACTTACTGCAACTCACTGTCGCCTGCGGTTAGCCTGGAGTAGAGAGCATGCATTGTGGACACCGCAACAGTGGGCTTGTGGGATATTTTCCGACGAGTCTGGGTTTAGCTTGCAATCTGATTTTCGCCGGACTTTCATATGGAGAGCTCCAGGTACCCGTTACCACCAAGAAAACATCCTTGAACGACACCGTTACGGTGGTGCAGGAGTGCTCGTTTGGGGTGGAATTATTCTGGGTTCCAGAACTGACCTGCATGTTCAAATTGGAATCATGACAAGCCAAATCTATCGGGACGTCATTCTGGAACAACATGTACGTTTGTTTCGGGGCGTCATGGGCGCACAATTTGTGTTTATGGATGACAACGCCCGTCATCACCGAGCAAACATCGTAAGCGAATGCCTTCAGTCGGAGGATATCACCCGTATGGACTGGCCAGCATTCTCACCGGACTTGAATCCAGTAGAGCACGTGTGGGACATGCTTGGCCGACGAGCTGCAGCCCGTCACCTCCTCCTACATGTCTACCGGAACTTCGGAGAGCATTGCTTTTTGAGTGGTGTAATATCCCCCAAGATCAGATCGATAATTTGATACTTAGCATGCCTAGGCGTTGTACGGACTGTATTGCATCGTCTGGGAGACATACAATGTATTAACAATCACACCAACCGTGTAATATTGGTTTTTTGTAAGTAGGTTTTTTTGTAATTTGCTCCAGGGAGAAAAAAATCGCTAATTTTTTTAATAATATCAAACATATAGCATCTTTTTTTTGCTCTTTACCTTTTGTTTAATAAATAAGCTTTACAAATAAGTCAAATTTGTTTTGCTGATGACTCTTCCTTTGCCTGATTTTGCATTATCCTTAATTTATGGACATGAGTGTATTTGAAGGAACGTGAACTATGAATGGGGGGGGGGGAATCGGACTGTTGTCCTGCTTACAGGACACCTATAAAATACAAACGAAATACCTGAAAAAGATAGCTTTCTTCATGGGTATTTTTATTTTTGCAAAAGGTACTATGAATCTACTAGCACAAATGTATACATGCGTTTAGAAAAATATAGATTTTCAATCCTAAATAACGGCTCAAAAATAAATAATTTTAAAGAGTTATTTTTAAAGTCATTTTTAATGAAATTAAATATAATAGGGCATTTTTTTATCCTGCGTATGAAACACACCTGTATTTCAAGGGATTTTTTTACAAAAGTTATTAGCGCAAAGGGCGTTAGCTCAGAAGGGCTATTAATTTCGTTTTGGCATTTGGCGTTGAAAACTTTAGATGTCGGTTCACTTTTCAAATTGTTGCCACCAAATATTAAACGATGATACCTAGAGCCATCAGATTTTTGAATAACGTAATCTTCTACCGAATATGGGCATCTGGAAGCCCTAATTTGGAATCTGAAATTTTTTTTATTATCGATTTCATATTTTGTAACACTTCAACGAATTTTTGATTAACAAACTCAACGATTTCAAAGGGAGCAATGGAAAAACTGTACGAAAAAAATAAATAAAATATTTTTATCTCCAGCGCGTTAGACTCTGTATCGGAAATTCTAAAGATATGCTCATTTAAAAATTACTTTGCGATATTGCTGTTGAATTGAATTTTATGATTTAAGGGTAGAGAACATTTAATAAATAAAGGTAACACACAAAAGGGTAAAAAAAGTTTCTTTGGGAGTAATGTAAAATCTGAAAGCTTTCAGTTTTTTTCTATTTGTTTAGTTTTATTTCCATTTAATAAAACTTAATTTGGCCGTCCTATATTTAGGACAGTCGTCCAATGTGGGTTAAATAGTGATAATAATGCCTAAACTTAATAATAAATTTCCTCAGATTTAATGCTAAAGAATGCAGTTCCACCTAATACGATTAGCAAACCGCATGCAGATAGGGAGAAATTTGCCAAATTCTAAACTGCAGGGGCAGGAAAGAAGATGATTTTCCTTTTGATCTTGTAAGATCCGTTGAGTGCGCCCAAGCTACACATATTCTTTTTTTTTTTTTTTTTTTTTTTCTAATGTAAGATTTGAATAGGTAAGGATACCTGTGTACAGTATTGTTCGTTTATTTAACCAATTATAGCAAAACACGCGATCGCTACGCGTCTAAAGAGGGAGACATTATCGTGAATATCTTTCCCTGTAAAACATATTCAAACCCAAGTTGAAATCAGTGTTCAAAATCTTATAGCTGTTGAGCCGTTGGTGAATATGATAACAAACTTATCATAGTATAGCAGACTGCTATGAAACTGAAAATGAATATCTGAAAGGTCTGGGTGCATGAATTTTTGTGTGTTTTTAATTTTCTTTCGTGTTTTTCCTTTACGCAACATAAACATAAATTAGTCCTTATAAAATTTCTATGTTCTTCTCCTTAGCAAATAGTCCTTGAAGGCTGCGTATCATTTAATTAATCGAAAGATTAACTTAAAACAACAACTTTGATTTTTTTCGGGTGACTTTTTTTCGTAATATTAAAATATGAATGTGGACGACGCAAGACGATAGACTCATATAATTTTGAATTATGTTGCACACTGATGTAAAAAATGAAAGGTTTAAGAGTATAGTGAATATATCAAGTGACAACAACTACCTAATCTGAATATGCTAACTATACTCCGTATTTATTTAGCAAGAATATTATTAAGATTAAATAAAGATTAAAATGTATAATAAAGTATACTGTAAAAGCACGGTATAATTTTGCTTTTAAAATGCATATAGAAGACCAGTTTGAATTGGTTTGCCATTAACAGCAGTTGTATATTTATTAAATAATTGTAACTGCTTCCTCCGCAGCTATGAGAGCTTAGAAGATTTAAAGTTGAAGATTTAAAGTTTTCACCCGCCTATCAATTTTGTACTGACTTTAATGTATACATTCAGCGTAGCTGAACAATTAAACATGTATTTTTTTTTAAAAAACAATAATGCTTTGCTTTATATAGGAACGCATAGGAGGCACTTTATTACTCAATGAATGCCTAAAAGCAGGTGCTTGACACGTTCCAGAACAATTTATTGCGTCACAACTAGGGCTATGAAATATAAAGATATCAACGAATGCTGTATGAAAATATAGAGAGTTCAATAAATAGTTTTATAATGTCAAAATGCTGTTCACTCCCCCCTTCCTGTAATAAAGCCGAATAGATTGAGAAAGCATTTAAGTTGCATCTCAGTTTTGTTAACTATTGAGGACATCTACTGCCATCTAACGTCATAAAAAATTATAGTTAATAATAAATAAGAAACATAATAGAAACGAATATTTATTAAGAAATTTATAACCGCAAATTATAACAGTCTAGTATTTTATCATCATATTCTTCATCATGTGATACTTGAAGTTCGTTAAAACGTGATTTGAATAGCTGTTTAAAATAATCATATTAATCATTTCCTATAAAATAATTTCTAAGATAATTCCAATGTATATTTTATTAAATTTATTACCACTAATTTTAAAACCAACTATAAGAAAATAGGAGAAACTTCGCAAGCCGATAAACATAATGTAGAGTAGCATAGTTTAAATTATTTTACAGCTTAAGTACAAAGTTTAATTTCTAGATCTCTAAATTTTTACAGTGCCAAGAACTCTGCCATTCATCCATCAAAACATTTAAAAGTTTTAAGAAGCATTAGAAAGCACGCGCAAAAACAAAAATTACGATGCGCGTAAAGAAAATCACAGTGATACTATGTAGGCATTAAATTTTTTGGCAGGAGCCATGAAACGCTAGACCGAAGAACTTCGATTTGCTAGACCAATAGCGGACATGATGTAGTACCGAAAAGCGCAGGCCACCTAGCGGTGCGTAACTAAAGCTTCCATAAAGCAACATACCGTTTTCATGAATGCGTTGTTAGGTTACTTTTCTTGTTTAATTTTCAAACTCTTAGGATTCTCCATCCCGCTAAGTTTGAAAGGTGTTCATCTTCATCGAGTGAATAGATTCTACAGGTAAAATTGTTTCAGAAAGTATTAAGCTTGTTTATCTTAAAATTATAACTCATTTATTCTTAAAAACATCGAAATTCCTTTCCGCGTTAAAATAAAATACATTTTTCTTTTGCATATTTTATCTAAAGCTGAAGTTGTATTTGATTTGTTAAAATATGGTAAAACATACTAGGTTATCTGTCAAAGAAGGATATGTACCTTCATGGTGGATTAAGGTAGAAATCTGAAACTGATAGCCCGCAGGCTGCATGCATCCTACGATGCAAATTTATGCGTCCCGCGAATATATTTCGATTATTTATTTGTTACAAAGATTTAAAGGTTTTAGTTATTTGATGTCTGAGATTAAATTGCATTCGTTATTATTAAAAGCGAACATAAATTACAAGCCAGAAAAATCAATAAATGGAGCTAATAAATTTACAGTGAATTTCAAATAATTACATCTTATTTAATTATTTGAAAATTCAAATCTGATTAACTTTTATGCTTGTAAAAAATTAATACACTTAGTTATGAATCTTTGCACTAGGAATTTTGGCTTTGCTTTTTGAAAATATATTTATATGTGAGCAACATTTCCGCAGTTGAAAACTAACGAGAAAATAATCCGATTGACGTTAAGCATCCTCAATCCGGGATGAAGATGATTTCTAATAGTTTCACTCCAAGGCTGCAAAGTTTATCTGAATGAAAAGGTCATCCCGTGTCAAGCTACTGTAAAAAAATAAAACTTATAGTTATTTACATTACAAACATAAGAATTTTTATCTGTGCGTCGAACAAAAAATTTGATAAATAAGAGAAAGAGACTAGGCTGTCATTATTTATTCAAGTCTTATCACAGGAGGAAAGTTTTCATAATTTGTTTATTTTTAGTTAAATAACTTACAGATTTTCAGATTGACATTGAAATAAATGGCAGTCTGAAAATATTTAACTGTCAGTATATTTGAATTACAAAGTGTAACAAAAAAATTGTGAATTACAAAGTGTAAACAAAAAAAAAAAAAAAAAAAGTCAGGCTGGTACCAAACTTTCAGACAGAAAATAAGTATAAATTTGATTTTTTCTCCTTTATTACTTATGTATATTTTGATAAAAATTTAGTAAACGAAATCTAAAATTTATTTAAAATACTTTTTATTTTGTTAATTTGTTTTTATTTTACGTAAATAAATAAAAAAAAATTCTGTCGCGTCAGGTGTTTTCAGATCCTGTATTTAGCTCGCATTCAGTTTGAGTATCGGACCACTGGACTAAGGGAAACTGGCTTGTATTTATGTTACACATGGAATAACTAATTTATGTTACACATGAAAATTCGAAGGTGTAAAAATATGTTACAGGATATGTAGACAAATAACTTGACATTTTTTATCTTACGACTATAAATTTATCTTCTATCAGAATATTAAAAAAAATACTTCGTCTATTTTTGAGCGTAGAATCTTATTATTTGTATTATATTCTTACTAATCAGTTAGTAAGTTTGGCATTATAGATGTATACCTCCTCTTATAACTACTAGAAAAATCATAAAAAGAAAGTTATATGCATTTTGTAATTTTTTGTAAAATTGGGGATTATAATTATGTTTAATCATTGCTTTTACACATAATTTCCTTAAAGTAGTACTTATTATTAGTTTACTGCACTTTTAACGGAATTTTTCAATCCTAATGGAAATAAATTCTTAAATCTTAATAGAAAATTACTAAATGGATCAAAAACATATTGTTTATTTGCACATAAGAAAAAAAGACTGTAATCAAATAGATTGGATTATTGATTGAGGACCGAAAATGGCTTATAGAATTGTATATAAGAAATCCAAAGTTAAACTTCTTTTCAGAAGCCTTAAATTTATGGCCATGAATTAGATCAGAAAGGCCTAAAGGATTATGTAACATTTTAGATATAGACTACTGTACAGTTATCCATAGAGATTCTGTAGGGATATGTGTAAATATTCTGTAAAGATCTGCGTACAGGTTTTATAAAATTTGTACAGTTTCTAAAGTTTCCGAGTATAGAATCCTGTGTATCATGTCTATGATCTGATATCATGTGATCAACTACATGAATCATACTGAAACTATTATATCCACTTCATAGCAAAATAAAATTTTTTGGAACAGATGTAATTTTTTATAATATAAATTTTAATATAATTTTTTAAAAAATATTTTAATTAAATAAATTCATTTTAAATAATAAAGTTAAGAAATCCTTTATACAATAATTAAAAACATTAATTTCAGAAATTGAAATTTTATAAACCACAGCATAAATTAGACATTTTATTTTATTTTTGGATTTAAACTTTTTATTTTTATGCTTTTACATCTAATTTTGTTAAGCAATATTATATAAAATATAAGCAATATTATATGAAAATTTGCACAAAATGTTACATTTAGAAGCTAAAAATCTTTAAGCTGAAGGAAAGAACGCTGTTATTTCCATTAAAAATGATTTAATATTTATAAATAAAAAATGTTTATTTTTACTCTTTTATAAACCACACAGTAAATCAAAAGTTGAAAATTTGCTTTGATTACAGCCTGAAACTTTAGATATTTCTGAAAAACAATATAAAGTCTTTATTAAATTTCTATGAAATTTTGGATAGCAAAATTTCTGTGGTTTTCTAGTCTGCGAAATCTTTGTAAAATTTCTTTAGAGTTTTATAGGAAAGCATTTCTATAGAGGATTAGCTAATAACTTCTGTAGAAATTTCTGTATAGCTTTGGAAACCTGTATGATAATTTTTCGTAAGGGAAGTATACGATGACTATTTGCCCAACGGCGGAATGTCTTCGTTTAGAACTTTCAAATGATTAGATTAGGCTATCTGAATACCGCAAAGCACTCAAGAACTATCAGCCTAAGGCTAGGGATGCCTTCAAGAAAAATTTTCTAAAGAAAACTGTCTCGTTTTCACGCTGCACATGGGAAAAGCCACGAAAACACTAATGCAGCTAGACCGTTCGCCTGAGTTTTAATGGAACAATCCGTATTCAGGGAGCTTGACTACTTGGCCACTTATGAGGTTGACTTTCTAAGGGAAATTGAATCATATTTATTTTACAAAAGGTTACAAACCCTGAAAATCCCATGTCAGCCCATTCGGAATGTACAGAATCCAGGTCGATTTACTCGTGTTCAATGGTTTTGCCGCCTCCAGCGTTAGTGGGAGCTATTATTACAGGGATCTCCAGCCTTTTTATACGTTAGAGCACATCCCAGAATACCGCTGGGGCAGCGGACACGATCATTTTTCAAAATTAATTTATAGTTTAGCGTAGCTAATAATGCACGTAACGTACAAAAACAATTATTCCTAAATGTATAATTTTAAGATATAAAATTTGTTAGTTGCATTCTTATGTAAAATAAATAATTACTAATTGTAACACACAGAATTTTACAAATTCTTTCATTTACAGTTCGTTGGTATAAAAATTCATTGTAAATATTGTAATTCTTAAAGTCAGTGTGTTGCTTGGCATTGCATTTCATTCGCCATTGCTTCATAATTAGGGAAGTATGCTGACATTCCTGTTTGTAAGCAATCATTAAGATATTCTTCCGTAAGTCGAGATCTGTACTTTGATTTTATTATATTCATTGTTGAGAAAATTGATTCACACAAGTGTGTGAAACTAAAAATCGATTTTGTTTTGCATGAAGTTCTTTTCATGAACGGAAATTTGTTTCTATTAACTATATTCCAGAATATCATATCTGATGCAGAGCATTTTAAGACAATGCGATTTTGAAGATCCAAAATTTCTAGCACCAGATTTTCCGTTCTTGCTTGAATAAACTCTGCAATATTTGCAACTATTTAGGTTACATTTACTTGGCAAGTAAAAGAATTGATGAAGAAAGTGACCTTCGGCTTGATAATATGAAACGATTAAAATCTTTTTTCAGACTGGTCTTGAAGTAGCAGTCAATTTCAGCTTTATGAAATGGAAAGTAAATGGCTGTATTCGAGGTTACAAGGGGAGATTATATTGTAAAAGAAAGTTGTTTATAGAACCCGTTCATAATCAATAGATCAAGAATAAAAACTAGAATGGAGCTACAGAGAGAGCTGTCATTTTTTCTTTACTGTAAGTCAATAGTTACCAAAATGTGTACATGGTAAAAAAAATAAATACAAATTACATAGAAGCGAAAGGTTTTGAAGTGCTCTCTATCCTTAATGTATTATTAAGAATATAAACACATTTGAAGAATAGAATAGAAACTTTTATGTATTATTAAACAGTTTAATAATACTTTTTTGGATAATTAATAAAGTGTATTTGCTTATCCTTATCAGATTTTATTGATTATATCTGTTTGCTTATTAACATTTCATTATTTCATTATTTTCGTCTAGGAATCCCCCCCTTTTTTTTTTCGCGCGAGCAATATAGGCATGTAGATCACGAGGCTAAAGCCTGGGAAACAGCTATAAAAATAATCTGTTCCAATTTTTCCAGTTGAACAGCACTAATTAGAATAAGCACGGCAATTGATTATGAAAAGTATCCTAGTTTTTAAAAGGCTTCTTGCCATACAACATGAAATTAATTACTTAATCATCTTGTAGAGACATTAGGATTTTTTGAGAAGCAGGAAAGATGAAAAATATGCAACGCCTTCGCAGGATATCGAACCTCTCAATTACGCGCTGAGTTTGCAGACCACTACACCACGAAGACTCGCTAAGAAGGCGGGAGAAATACCTTCTATACTCCCCTTTTTAAAGGGCGACTGGGGTTTTTAGGGGACCCAGTCGCCAAATTCTGGGTGAGGAGAATCATCATCCAACACCCTTTTAGTTCGGGGCGCCACTGTAGTGACATTAGGTAATTTTGGAAGCAGATAAGATGAAAAATACGCAACGCCTTCGCCGGGAATCTAACCACGGACCTCTGGACTACGCGCCCAGCGTGTCGACCCCCACACCACGAAGGCATGCCAAGAAGGCTCCCGCCTTC